AATGAGAGCGATCAAGCGGATTATTACCATGCGCTTGGGCTGATGAAAGAAAACCTAGGACAATACAATCAGGCCATCGAGTTTTACGAAAGAGCACGCGATATCAGCGAGAAAACTCTCCCTCCGAATCATCCCGACTTGGCTAATTCTTACAACAATATCGGTAATGTGTATTCTGATATGGGCGAGTACTCGAAAGCATTGTCATCACATGAACGAGCACTTGAAATCCGAAACATAGCTCTTCCTCCGAATCATCCCGACGTGGCTAATTCCTACAACAACATTGCTAGTTTGTATAACAGCATGGGTGAGTATTCAAAAGCACTCGTATTTCTCGAGAGAACACTTGGTATCTTCGAAAAATCACTGGCTCCAAATCATCCGCAGATAGCCCTGGTAAAACGAAACATAGAAAAAGTAAAAAAGAAAATTTAATTGCTTTTTTTAAATGAGAAAATAAATTTAGCTTCTTAAACACTTGAGGCTGTGGATGTGATTCTTCTGTTCATCTACACTACAGCCACAGCCGCACTCACACCACCACATACACCCACACACACCCACACCCACACCCACACCCTATTAAACAATAAGTATTTATTTTATATTATTTAAAAAATTATTATAGAAAGGAAATAATCTTGAAGGAGAATAATTATTTCAAAATAGGTTTTTAAAATAAATTCTATATTTTCATAAATGTATATATGGATGAATTGCGTTGACATTGTACGGTTGCTCTACAAACAGGAAAAATCTTATAACTCAATTTCTCGATTTGATAATTTGTTTTTGAAAATGCTCCGTTCAGTTCACCCTACTTAACACAAAATTATCAAGGTTTTTTCGAACATGAAATATCATAACAAAAGTCGTTTGGCGACGTCGATCGACGAAGATTACTTTTTATATCGTATAATTCTGACTGGATAAAAGGAATTTTTTTACAGTAATTCGTAATTCTGATTCTCCTCGTTCTGAAAATATAAATTGATCCCAAATTCGATTTTGGTTTCCTGATCAAATCTTGCAAATATATCTAAACACACACTTGGACCATTTTGTGTCCCGACAAATCAAATTGTTGATAGTAAAGACTATTTATACAAGCTAATTCGATTTTCTTTTTTTTTGTTTAATATTGGGTTGGTAAGAAATTTTTCACGTTTTTTTCGAAAATTTTCTGGAACAATCGAGGAAGCTCTAGAAGGTTCCATAGTAAGGGTATATATAGGGGGTACGAATATCTTTCGAAGAACAATAAAATTATGGAAATGGACATTGATCTTAAATTAGAAACGAAGATATCTCGTAGAGAGCTCCGATTGCTTCTGCTTCATGAATTCTGTTTGGGTCGCAAAGCAACGGAAGCAACAAGCAACATATGTGGCACGATGGGCAAGGATGTACTCTCCATTCGTACAGCACAAGATTGGTTCCATTAATTCAAGAATGGTAACTTCGAACTCGACGATCTACCTCATACTGGAAGACCATTGCAGGTGGATATGGATTTCTTAAAGCAGCTTATTGAGCAAGACCCAAGGTTGACGACACGGTGTTTAGCAGAACAACTTGGCTGCTCTCACGTTGCAGTGGAAACACATCTGCACGAATTAGGCAAAACTTGGAAATACGGAGTTTGGATACCCCATGAATTATCACCACTTCAGCTGCAATGTAGGGTTGATGCTTGTATGGAATTATTGACTTCTCATCGCAACTACAAATGGCTCGGCAATCTCATTACTGGTGATGAAAAGTGGGTGTTGTATATTAACTATCAGCACAGACGCCAGTGGCTGAGCGCTGGTCAAGCAGGTGTACCAACGCCCAAGAGTGATCTACATCCAAAGAAGGTGATGCTGAGCGTGTGGTGGGGAGTCAAAGGAATTATTCATTGGGAACTACTGCCAACTGGGTGCACCATCACTGCTGATCTCTATTGCCAGCAATTGGATCGGGTTGCAGAAAAACTCAAAGGAAAACAAGATCGAATTTACTTTTTGCACGATAATGCTAGACCCCATGTAGCAAAGTCGACACGGCAAAAATTATTGGAGCTTGGATGGATCACCATTCCCCATCCACCTTATTCTCCAGACTTGGCTCCTACGGACTACCACTTGTACCGTTCTCTCTCCAATCATTTACGTGAGAAAAAGTTTGAACACGAGAACGACCTTAAAATGGATCTCCTCAATTTCTTCGATCAAAACTCTCAGGACTTCTACGAACAAGGAATCTTTTCTCTGCCAGAGCGTTGGCGACAGGTCATAGAGAGTAATGGAGCATACATTGTTGATTGTTAATTGCATTCTTATATTTAAAAAATAAAAATAAAATTTTTGAAAAAAACGCGAAAAATTTTTTACCAACCCAATAGATTCCAGAGCGAGAAATATTTGAATAAAAAAGAATTTCAAAAATGTTCAGGATCAAGCAAAAATATAACACAGATAGGTGACTGTTGTCGCACTAAATGTTACGACAGATTTCTTATTTTGATTCTTTCATTTCTTGCTAACGACAGGAGATTAAGCGATACATCTCTTATTATGTGTAGATAGCTACATGCTAGACCTACGATAAAAATTGTTAAACCAACGGGAAAAATATTTACAAAAAGTAAATCAGACAAATTTTTAGAATTTGAATTACTAATCAAAAGATTTGTTTTTCTGAATAAACAGTTTTACATATGATACCGTCGCAAAGATTAATTTTTAGTATTTCTTCACAGTTAACTTTGTTTCTTTTTGCGAACTCAATAGCGATATTTATGAAGATTCTGATTCTCATTGTTATAGAGAAACGATATTGAAAAGAACTTAGTTATTCAACGGGTTTCTCGAAAAATATGTGTTTTCAATGATAAAAGTTATATTATGCTACCGCATATGTATGTAAATGTGCAAATAAAGTTATTTACATGTCTGTTGAATTCTTCTTTTGAAAACGATTCGTCTCATATATGATAACAATGTAAAACATTTTTATTCAGAAATTTTATTTTATTAAGAAATCTCGGAGCCTCCATACACTTCGAGATCTCAATTTTCTTCTAAATGGAAAACCTGGTAGTTGGAAAAATAGGTGGTTCGTATGCAATAAATAAAGCTCTATCAAATGCATGGGTTAAATCATTCTGCGGTTCACTTTGATTTTTCTCGATTTTTTTCTTCAACTCGTACAATGTCAACGCAATTCACCCATATGTATGTATGTTTATCAATATGAACATTCAATATCAAATAAATTTAGGAACTAAGAATGATATTGTGTCGCGAGCCGTTTCATTCTGTACCGTTATAAAAAGTAATGAATTATCTTTTTCTAATATGTATTGGTAGATACTAAACAAAATCAATATAGTAATAATAGAAAGTCGTTCCCAATGACGTTGTTTTCTATTTGTAAAACGAATGAAAGCAATATTCTTTTGCAATATTAAATTACATTGCTGATGAATGAATCGTTCACTAGTCAATGAAGAAAAGGTAATCATGCGACCATTAGATTTTCCATCCACATTATCGTCTAGTTAAGTTTTATATGAAACCAAGAGGAATTCTTCTGTGAATTTGTAATGTAGATATATATATCCATTTGTTTTATTTAATGCATAAATATGTATTAACAAGAAAGAGTTATTTCAAGGAAAAAGAATATGTTCAAGACTACACTTCATATTAAGAAAAAAAAATTTGTAAAGATCAACAAATTTTCTTATTCTTCTTCACAAGAAAAAAATTCTTCTGAATCATTAGTTTTCATTTGTGATGTACGATTATTCTTACGTCGTACAATTCTGGCATTTTGGATATCATATGAAGATCGATAAACGGCATAATTGCCTGCATCATTTGATTCATAAATACGATATGCCTTCAGATTGGAGTTAATATTAAGTGGCTTATCAATTACATGTTCACAATTTTTAATGGTTCGTCGTGCAGCATGGTTTGTATGATTTAATGATTTCTTTTTGTGATGATTACAACTTGGCAATAATTTATTTCGATCATTTCCAACATCTGCATTTTCTTCTTTTTTGAAATGATCATTACAATAATCATGCTGTTGATTGGTACCAATATCTCTATTAACACAATCCTAAGAAAAAAATCTTATATTCACTGATATGGAGTTGAATTTTACTCACTTGTTGTTTATTCTTAGTTTTTCCATTCTTACTATTAGTATTGCTAGTTGTGCAACAAGAAAATAAATTTCGTAAAGACATCTAAAACAAACAATAAAACATTAGTATACATTTTAATTACAATCGACGAATAGAAGAAAACGTAAAACATGTATATTCTAAATGATATGATATATGTATCTATTAGTATTGCATGTATGGTCATCGTTTGTTTCTTAGAGCCTTAAGTGACAGGTTGGTGAATTATGGAATCATTTATATTCTACAATCGATATTTGGAGCGCAAAGAAACCCAAAATAATCAGATTTGATTGTGTTTAAAAAAAGAATCAATCTCGAGTGCCAAGCAGTTCTTAGTGTCTTCGAAAACTGGCGCCATCTACACTAGAATTGTCTTTCATGAGAAACTATATAAAAAGTGTTCTAAATAAAAAAGCTGAAATTGATTTTTCAATAAAAATTGCGTCAAATCGCTCTGATTTTCATGAAACTATCAAGAAAATTTAGTGAGCGGTTATCATTCATTATGCTTCAAAACTGAAGACTCATTTTTATAATTCAAACGTGGGAGGCAGAGTTTCTGGCGGCATATCATTCTTCAGAAATAAATAACGACCTGTTTTAGATGGTTACAGTTTTTTTTGAATAAGTAAATTGTGACTAAATTTTCTGTAAAAATTTCATTCAATCAATTCGACTTAGAAGCTTCAGCAAAAACTTCAGTCTTTCCTATTTTTTTCATATTATTGGAAAATTCAAGTGAAATTGCCAGAAAATTATTATAAGGTTCTAAAAAAAACTTCATAAACTCATTAAATTTCGTATTGTGTAAATTCTGAAACATTTGCTATTAATTATGATATGGATTCCACAAATATCTAGAACAAGATTACTGATTGTGGAGCATAATTCTCGCAAGTTTTTGTAGGATAAAAGTTCCATAATCATAACTTACTTCATTGATTAATGAAATATGGATATGATAATGTTTAGTAGTTGTATCCGACATATTATATACGAATATTTGTTTTAGTATGTGCTTCCTTACATATACATATTTCCATATATATATATATAGCAAGACAAAGAAATAATTGGCGGTCGGCAAAATGAATAATTTTATATGAATGATCATGTAACAAACAGACTAAATTTTCTTATCTCAGACAAATGTTTCAAAATGTCGCAACTCTCTTTATAGACAATAGGCTTAATTGGCATTATGCTTTTGTAAGAGAAAAATCTGGAAATTGAAATGCTTGCAGAATTATTTAAATTCAATTAAACAATAGAGTACAAAAGCAGGTATTTTGTAGCGAGAGAAACATTGAATAAAGTTCTTTCACCACGTTTAAGTTAAATTAGAATTGTTTCACACTGATCATGTTTTGTGAAGAATAAAAATAAGTAAAGGATGTAGGGTTATTGATACTTGAATTTTCGGTACGTCAGTTGCATTAGTTTTTCTTGTCGGTCTTTTTAATAGCCTTCCGAGCTGACATTTGTCTTTTTCGAAGCATAAAGATAACAGAAGAAATTGCAGAAGTTAATCCACTAATTTAGAAAAATTTCTTGTCTTTTTTTCTTATTTAAATTAATAATTTAAATACAAAAGAAATTGATAGAAGAGTCGGCTATTGAATTATGTAAGAAAAGATTATTTCATAATTTTCTTTCAACATGTACGAAACGGATGATGCTGATTGTGAGTGCATTTTTCATGCGTATGTCAATATATTACGAGCCATTTTACGGTTAGTTCCTCGGTCAACATTTTTCGATATATTCCAACCAGACGATGGGTATTTTTGGCGAGGCTATGAAACGTTGCACTAAGTTCAAGCAATCAGCAAATTAATATCATTCGACAAACTTTTTCCTTTGATGAAAACGACTCCTATGGTCGAAGCTCGTGTTGCTCTAGAATTGCTCGACAATAAGCAAGACGTCTCCAACGAATCAGATATATTATGTACATTACTATCAAAATATGGTACATGAAATAGTTTCTTTCTTACAGATAAACAAATTTCTTATGTTAGTTTTTCATAGTCCTTGTGATTTATTGCTCTACAATAGGTAACAACAATGATCGTTTACTTAATAAAAGATCAAATGATATTATCGAATAGTATTTTACCAAGTTTTTCTAAAGAGAAACATACAATGCGAAATTTATATTAGAATTCAAATCGATGCTAAGAATACTCCAGTTTTTTTTTGGAGGTATGGGAACTTGATGGTGTTCCGAATTCTAGATTCTTCTTTTCCACCGAACTCTCCAAATATAAAACGATCAAAGAATTTCTAAGTCTTGAGGGTGAGGGTGGGTGAGAATAGAATGTGCCTAGCTTCCGACATTGGCAAAATAATAAATCGTTTGTCTTAGATTTATATATTAATCTGTGCAGGAGATTATCAAAGCAATATTTATATACTATAAAATAGGGTCACCTGAAAAAGCAGTTTCCTTGCTTTGTTCTGTATTTTGACTCACAAAAAAAAATACACAACAACAATATTTACATTTGAAATAAAGTAACTGTCGAAGCGCAGATCAGATCCTTTTCTATTGATATTACGATAAAACCAATTTTTCGAAATCATGAAACAAAACCAATCGAAACAGTTTATTGTTTTCCAATAGAATAACAAGCAGCAATCTAATCGTTTATTGCTCAAATTGATGATAGAGAAATTCTTGTACAATTTAAAGAAAAACAACAAGCACACGAAGAATACAGTGATGCTCTTCGACAAGGTTATGAAGCATATTTATTTGAACAAGATGAAAAATCTCAAGATAATTTTTATTATTAATGTTGGTGCATTATCTCCAGGTAAAGAATGCCACACCTTCATTTTGTGTGTCTCTGAACTTGATATAATTCAAAATAAAAATAGAATTCGTTATGTTGTTCCAGCAACAATTGTACCTCGATATAATCTAGATAAAGTTAGTTTTAGCTTACCAGCTGGTACTACATCAAAATATGCTCAAATAGCTCTATATACAATTGAATTTAAATGTTAAGTAGAGAAAAACAATGTGTCTGGAGTTAGTTGGACATCTTATTCACTTTAAATCAGATTTGATCAACAAAATGTCTATATGCTTCAATTTGCACAAGAGCATAATCATTTAGATATGAGATATTTAAGTCGATATTGAATTAAGTAAGAATCATTTAAACATTATTGTTACAGTTCAGCCAGGTGCTGTTATAGGTTTATTTACGCCAACTGAGGAAGATTACCAACGTACAATGAACTATGAAAAACCGAAGAATGAATTTATCTTTGTTGTTGATTCTAGTGGATCAATGAGAGATGAAAACAAAATTGGATTATCAAAACAAGCTATGATACAGTGTCGTAGCCAGAAACTTTTGAGCCATAGGCCATTCCCGAGCAAAAGTTTCTCGAGTACTGGGCAACAAGGGGCAATCATTAATCAATTGGGCAACAGTTTTTTAAATTTATTCTCTTGAAAATAGGTTATGTTTATCGAAGCGAAATTTGCTACTTTCAACTAAGAGGATTTCTTTCAATTTTCTGGCACTGTTTCATTAATGTAACCTTTAGCTTTCAAGTATTCAAAAATTTGATTTAAGAAAGAAGTACAAATATGCAAAGCTGTAATTGTAGCAGATAACGATAGACACTAGATCTGATCGTAGTAGGGAGAGAACTCTTTACCGGTCAATATACTTGGTAGTTGCTACAACCTTTTTTTATACTGACTGGTATGAAAATTTTTCAAACTATAGTGCTTTACCTGAAAAACTAGCTTGTAAAGGTATTTATTTCCTACATCAAACACTTGTTTTATCGACGTGAAAAGTGATTTATGTTAGAATAGATCGATAAAAATTAGTATATATGATCAAAATTCATTATTAAATTCTTGGTGTATTTCAGTGACACACGATCATCTCAATTTATGCTGTCATAAGAAACTAGAGAATTCTTCGACATTGTATTTTTCATTGATTCCTTGTGCTTAGCATAGTATTTCCAGGATAGATCTCCCACAAATTTAAAAAACAATGAAGGATTACGAAAGCGGATTGCATGTAGAATTCCTGAACTAGAGAGCACAAATTTCTGGAGGGTACTTTGGAAAACGAAAAGTTTTACTATTGAAATTGAACCTTTTTTAAGGGTATTTGTGTTCATTATACTCAGCTGTTGTTGCTCTGTATTGTGTTGAGGTCGAATCGAAATTCATTGAGTTAAAAATAAAGGCCATGGAATTTTAAGAAAAAAATTGACCAAGATTTTTTGACATAACGAGTAATACCTTTTTGTATCTGCAAACTAGAACTTTTTTCCACGTCTTTCATATGGAGTACCCTCATTTTCTGAACGCTGTTTTCGAATACTGCATTATATGTTATCTGCTGATAATTGTATGTGTAGAATTCTGTTGGAATTGGTCTGGAATCGGTCAATTTTTTTCTTCAAATTCCATTTTTCGACCAATTCCATGGCCTTTATTTATTGACTCAATGTATTTCGATCCCAACACAAGATACAGTAACAAAATCTCAGTATAATGAACACAAATACCCTCAACAAAGGTTCAATTTTAATAGTAAAGCGTTTCATTTTTGAAAGTATACTCCAAGAATTGGTGCACCCCTATATTGAGCAATGCCTATATCTGACGAATACTTAATAAAGTCAAAAAAATGTAGAATTTATAGTGCTATTTGGTTTTCTGTTCACTGAAAGACGTTAAGTTTAAAAACTACATTGAAATCGACAGAAGAAAATACTCAATAATAAGTTTTATTCCATTATTGAATTGATTTTCTTGGTATAAGGCAAAATATATGAATAATGACTTATGTTGAAATATCACTAGATCCTCTCACACTATACCGTTAAAGAAAAAGTCCTACCAGGTGCAACTTTGATTCTCATTTATGCATCGAATTGTTTTTTTCTTTAAATTCTCTATCTAGCTCCTGTAAGTATTTGATTCTTTAGTTGCGCGAGTGATGCTATTACTTACATCATCAAAGTGTTACTCTTAGATGATTTCAGTTATTTACATTCTAAATAATCTTATATAT